GGTGCATTTCGTTAAATTTATAGGCAAAGGTTGCTCAATTTTTTTCGAGTGCTTATGTTACGCTATAGTACTACGGGATATAAACTACTAAAGTATTCGTCCCGGATTCTACCTGGCCGCACAACAACAGAACAAACTCATACAATTTTCGGTTTGTGCTAATATTGGTGTGCTTTTCACCTTAGATATCCTGTCACAGACTTGCGAGAAGCACATCCCAATTCGATTTTCTCTTTAGCAATTTCGGTTATGGAGTATTACACAGCCAATAATGTTATGTCATGTTTCAGTGCATAGCGGTGCTTTCTGCCTAAGACACAGAGCTAGCTATCCGATTTCAGTAGCCTTCTTTGATCGAGTCGCTTTATTTTCTGATTTTAACCATTTATTTGAGTTACTGGACCGGGTTTTGCTCCCAATAGCAGTAGGGCCTTTTACATATTGGAATTATGCTCAAAAAACATTTTAAAAACGCTAACTGCGAATTTTATGAACAGTTTTCATGTCGGAAACGTATGTTTCCCATACAAAGCCTTGGAGTAGAATGCAAAGTTTGTCTGAGTCACGCGGGGGGTCTAAGGTGACAAAACCTATTTTTAGTAATAGTATAAAGCGCTATTGACAAGCCGGCAGACGTTTTATAGAAAGTCAGTAGTAAGAGTAAGGATGTTATTTTGAATTATGCCAACAATTCTTGAATTCGGAGTTCGTGTGATACCATAATTCCCAAAGTAACAAGCCTCCGATTGCCTGCGTCGTAGACGCTCTAAACCTTCAAATTAATGTTTTAGACGAGTGTGTGGGCCGGCTGCAACACAGGCTATCCCCCGAAAGTAGCTATAAAATTTCACAGGCGTTAGCAAATGCCAAAAGTAGCGACCCTCCGAAAGTAGCGACTTCAACCGAACTGATGGAGATTTATTTTTAGCTGTTTTGGGTCTTTGACATTCCTTTATGTAACTCAAAAGGTACATTACATCTTATAACCTTTCGGCGGTAAATACCCAGACCGTAATTAACCAATTCTGTCAGGAGCCCTGATTCTGTCGAATATTTATTTTAAAAAGCAATAACATGAAACTAGTTTCTCCAAATAAAAAGTGTGCATGTTTTCACAATTGTCGCGATATTTTTATTGCAACTTCGTACGGCCCATGTACTATACACGTCTTAGCTACCCGAAAGTAGCGACCTCCTGAAAGTATAGAGACCCTCCAAAAGTGGCGATGGAAAAAGGCTGCTAAATCCGAAAGTAAAGGAGTTCTTACTTCCACAACTTTAAGCAGATGAAGATTGCAGATCGCGAGGTCTGATCTTGTCGAGTCGCTGCACGGTATTTTCCCAGGCCTCGGTCAAACACTTTGGTGGCGTATCCGAGGCAACCGGGTGGAAAAAGCCCTCACTTCTTCGCTCGGACCACGTGACCCGAAACGCATTGGTCGCCCGGAATAATGAGGTCTAGGGGCTAAACAAGGGCTTGTCTACCTCGGATAGTGCAAACTGGTTATGAAAATGAAAAACGACGGTGCTGCAGTTTACTGCTGGCAGCTCAGGCTCCCTAACGGAGCACAATCCTTTGTCTTTTGTTCACAAATTGTGACGGAACAAATTACTGCGACATTTCTTATTTTACAGGAATGCTATTTAACGTTGTGTACCTAGAAGGCTTTCAAACCCACAAAAACATATAACTATTCAATTCCATATTCTTGTATTAATACTGCCCAGAGCAAAAACCTCATCGATCTTACTTTACTCCGGTAATTTTTGTAAATAGTAAGTTATAATCAGCTTTAACACTTTTTATCGCTATATTGTTATTATATAGTTCTTCGTATTTGTCTTCCACTTTTTATCTAATTTTAATCTTGAATATTCTGTATTTGACTTTATTTATATCTAGCAGGGTTTTTGAAAACGTTATCTCCAAATGGACCAGATTTGCGTCGGTTAGTCAGGGCCAAAATTGTGATATGAAAAGCGGTTACGAAAAAAAAAAAAAAACTAAACAATACAAAATCGAACACTGGAACAAACCAGGAGCCGAACTGGCGAACAAAGACCATCCAAAAAAACAGAAAGAGAACGATTACTGGGAGGAGAAGGGACGAGTCCACCCTTTTCTCCTCACCCCCCTCCCCGTCCTTGCCCGCATTTTTCAAACATAACCTAAGATGTAATTAATGAAAAGAGGATGGTTTCAGTAATTTAACATTTGTTGTTAACATGCAGGAATATCGGTGATAGGAAAAACTGCTGGACGAGGGATTAAACAACATCTCACAAAAAAGGGGAAAGGTGACTCGCTTACTTTTGCAGATTTAAGGAGTGCCGCTAATTCTATTAATTTTAGAGGGATTTGAAGAAAAAACGTTTCGTGTAAGCTATTTTCCGGTCACGTCAACACAGAAATTCGTAGAAACGAGAATAAATAAATAGCAGCTTTTAATACGAATGTTTTCCATTTACAAGAATAGAAATATTTTTCACAATCTACAATTCCTTACTTCAAGGGTGAATCGCTCTAAGACTAATATGATAGGCTTCTGCCAACCATGATTCCAGAGTTTCTTTGGAGCGAGAGTAGGAGAGAACCCCAGCAACAAGGCTTGTGCCTGAAGCGTCAACTTTTAAATGGGGTTCTATCTAGAGTATTTGAGGGGTAGAAGCTTCCCCCCCAAAATTCCCAGCTTCCCCCCCACCCCCCCCCCCCCCCCTGCAAAAAAATACTGTTATCATTACAGTGTGTAAGTAACTATTTCGGAAAAATCATTCAGACGCGTCGAGGTCGGTGCACACACGGTAATGTTTCTCAAGATTGTGTCTCAAAGTGCACCAGGTTGCATCTCAGTACATATTCATTTAAAAAAAAACTCGGGGGGTATGCTCCCGGAACCCCTTCCCCCCTCCTAGGAAGCTCATCACCTTCAGCGACTTGGGAATTCTCCCCCAAATGATAAATCCTAGGTAGAACTTTGTTAAACTGTGACCAGCCCCCCAAAATAAGGATACAAAATGTAAAAATATTTCATAAAACCTAAAGGACACAATGAAGTACTGATTGTATTGAATTCAATAGTTTTTTCTTTATCTGACTTTGTAGAAATTGGCAATAAAAATCATAAATATTATAAATATTGTAAATTACACTATGCTGCATTACGATCCCTTTTATGAGGGTTTATCTCCTCAGGAAGGTTAATAAATAATCATTGGACAGTTGATTGTGTATTACTTTTCTCTCTGAGACCTTCCTAAGTGTCATTCAGAATTGTGCAATCAAAAATATTTTGGAAAGATTCAATAAATGCAGGAATTGTATCTTGTGGTTGAATGTTTTGGTTTGTCTCCGCTGAGAGTGATGTAACGCCTTTTCCTTCTATTCCACAAGGAATAAAGTGATTAAACCAACTCAGGTCAATGTTGCAGTTCAAGGCAATACCATGAGTGGAAACCCAACGACTTGCATGGACACCTGTTCAAAAAGAGCAAAATAAGCAAAATTGATTACTTGCCAATGCTAAAGAATATTATCCAGCTGAAAACTGTTTTAAAGAAATAGGACACACAAGCCCATAAGGATCATATATGTAATACATTCTATATTAAGAATTGTCAGCAGTGTTGTCAAGACTGCTATAACCTGTGACAAGCAGGAGATCTCTAAGAAATTAGTTAGAGACATCTTAGATTTGCTACTGTCCAAGATTACGCTAGCATAAAGGTTGAGCAAGCAGCTTATCTTCTGGAGTGGAGAAAACAATAATCTTTTTGTAATGTTGAGGTGTCAATATACTTTCAGTACTGATGGGTTGATTCATTATCACTTTGTTTTTTAGTTGAAGAAAATCATTTCTGGTTTGCCATCTGAATTCAAAGGAATCGTCAACACATTATTTTAACTTGGGCAGTTTGTTTAATAAATATTAAATAAAAGTTTGACCAAGAAGTGGAAAGCTCTAAGTTTTTAAAAAATTCTCAAATTCCAGCCCTACAACCACGCCATCCTATGGGATTAAAAACACTAATGAGGGCACAACAGTAAGCGATATGAAAAATATGTCACTGAACCATTTTATTGTTTTTTTTTTACCAGCTTTTCTGAACACAGGCCTGCCCAGAGGGAATATGCACAAATGGGACTCATAGGTCCCATGCAAGGTGCCAGCTCTACCCAATCCCACAATCCGTAAAGGTTGGCCACACAACCAGGGTCTACGAGCCCTACTCTTTTCAGACAATGATGTGGGTTCTTTTACGTCCCACAAGAAAAGATCAGTGAAAGTGTTGTGAGACGGGACCTTATCTGAAAAGACTAGAAAGTCTAACCATTTGCAGATGTCATTACAAAGGCAGCACTTTCTTCTCAGTTATTTAAAGACTCTGAGCGTTGGTCCGGCCGGGGTTTGAACCCACAACCTCCCGCTCAAAAGACCGGCACTCTCCCAACTGAGCTAACCAGGCGGCGGTATATTCACCACACGGCAGTATATTCACTAACCTATTGCTGCTATTTTGTTGTCCTTTACCCATACTCCTGTGTCACAAGTGGTGTTAGCTACCACGTTAAATCTCTTGCAGGTTTCAATCAGAGTCTTTTCTAAGGAACACACATACCATCTTAAGCTCTTTTTGAAACGGGTCAAATCCAAAATAGGATAGCAAACTAATTGTCCTGGTCCATGAAAAGTCATCAGTCCTCCTCTGTTGGTAAGGTGAAACTCGGCGCCTAAATTTTCGAGCCTTTCTCTTTCTTTCCAGTCCAGGTTCTTGTTTCGTATGCCAATAGTAAAAACAGGATGATGTTCAAAGAAAAGCAAGGTATTAGTAGCTTCACTAGTTCCTTTAGCTTTGATATCGTCAAGATGCTGCCTTGCGATTGAAGTTTGAACTTCTAAGGCTGGAAGATAAGACATTTTCTGCAGCTTTCGCGCAATGACCACTCTTCCCATGGCCGCCATCTTGAAACAAGCTTGGTAGCCACGCCTGTGCCGGTTCAAGGTCCCTCTCGTTATCCAACATGGCAGGCGAAGGAACCCAGAAGTGTACTCATGTTATTTTTGACTTGGATGGCTTAATGCTTGGTAAGTCTGGCAGGGGAATCGGTGAACTTCAGTCTAGTTTCCTTTTAAGGCAAATGAAGTTCAGTCGAAGCTGTTACGACAAGGAGACGGTCGGTTCCGCTATCTGAAAGAGATAAGTTTGTGTCCTATGTAAGGGCCAAGTCGCACTAGAGGACAAAACTGTTTATTTATGTCAAAAATCTGTCATCACAATGAAAAACCAAGTGCGACCGGTTTGTTCACCAAAGGACAAAATTTGGTCGCAGACGGACAAACTCCAAAGATGCCGTCGACTACCTCTGGAGCAGGCCAAATTGAGACAAATTTTGGAAAACAATAGCGAGTGTGTTTTAATTCGGAAATGATTTGACAGGTGATATGTAGCAGAGTCTCTATGCTATAAACTTCGTTGTAAAATTAATCACGTTCACATTTCGCAACAACATGAATCCCGGCGCGGGCGACCAATTTTTTCCGTACGAATATCCACAATATCCACCAGGATGGATCTATCCTTTGGCAGGCCCTTACATGTTTAATGATCGAGGAAATCCCAGCCCATTTCCTTCGACCACGAGTACTGACTCGTTGCCAGAATCCCTCCAGTTCAGCGAAGATAGCTCAATGCCGGCATCAACCCCATCTTCTTCGCGTCGTGCATCTTCGTCAGCCGAGAACAAGAAGGCTCAGGACAGATGGAGTAAAGAAGAGGAGAAGCTTTTAGTTCAACTGTGGGCTGAAATCACAAGGCGCTCACAGCATGGTGTTGTGTTTTGTTCACAGATTTTGTTCTTAAGTGCGACTGTAGCTGTCCAGACAAATTTTTTGTCACTGGCCGATTTCAAGTCGAATTTGTCCAGAACAAATGTAAAATTGCCCTCTAGTGCGACTTGGCCCTAACTTGCTCGCGCTGGACGCGTGACCTTATTGAGAATAAAGAAAAAAAGGGCTATTTTCGCGATTTCAGAAATTCGGTTCCAGCGAACAACGTTTACCACAAAAGTAGTGACGCAGAATTTAATACCCTGAGGGGAAACCTTTTAAATGGTAACTTATGCACCTATCAATGGTTTGCCCCAGGATGGGGGGCAGGGCAACCCACGGGAAATTTGACATTTTTAGGTGTGTTAGCCAGTGAATACAGCCACCTTTCATCATTCCCATCTGTTGTTAAAGATCCCCATAGGCTGGATATAGTCTGTCAATGTTATTAATAATATTTTCTGTTTATGTCATTTTTTATTGGGCAAATCTAATTTGCAGCCATACCTAATGTTTATATTATCTTGCCTTTTTGTAAAATTTTAGATACTGAAATTATCTACACAAGAGTAACTCAGGAATTATTAAATCCCTATGGCAAGGTGTTTGATTGGTCTGTTAAATCCAAGATGATGGGGCGTAGCACTCAAGAGGCAGCCCGAGTGTTGTTGGAAGAGCTTCAGCTGCCCTTAAGTACAGATGAACTTATAAAAATGAGTCAAGAAAAGCTTTTTGAGCAGTTTCCATCAGCCACTCTTCTACCTGGTAAGAATTTGAGTTAGATGGGAGGGGTGAGAGTAATTAGGGTAAGGTGAACTGAATCAGGGAAATACACTAACAACACTGTTAAGTGTGGCATATAAGCTCCTTCCCCCACACTTATAAACCCCCTCAGTTACATAGGTCCAATTTGCTTTCACTGAGAAAATTGTTACTCTTCTACCCACTTATAAGCCATTCCCCACTCCAAACATGACTTGGCCTCCCCTGAAAAATGCATTCAAGGGAAGCTAGGAAATATTATCAGCTGAAAGTAACTTTCCCATGAATTAACTCTTTAAGCCTCAATATCCACATACAAATTCTCCATTTTGATCTTCTTATATTTCTTTGAAGAACTAGTTAGATAATTTGTTTTGGGAGAGCAAAGGTGAAGCAGTGGTGAGAGCGCTCTCCTTCCACCATTGTGGTGCAGGTTAGAATCCTGGTGTCGACAACATATGTGGGTCGAGTTTGTTGTTGGTTCTCTCCCTTGCTCTGAAAGGTTTTTCTCCAGCTGCTGTGATCTGGAACGCATGAACACGTTCCAGCGAGTTCTCATGAACTCCTAAGTGCTCCATGGGTAAACAAATTACAATTTTTTAACAAAGCATTTTCACATAAGTGATCAATTTATTAATTCTTGTAATATTTTCTCTTGATTATGTATTGATATGGTTAACTGGATCTTTCCATATGCTAACGTCCCATGTTGTAAATTAACAGTTTTAGAGCTACAGAGCTTGTGGTTGTGTGGGCTTTGGTGTATTATGCCACTTTCCTTTTTTTATTTTAGGTGTAGAAAAGCTCATCCATCACTTCCACAGGCACAACATTCCCATGGCAGTCGCTACAGGATCAGGAACACAAGCATATGACAGAAAAATATCAAACCACAAACACCTCTTCCAACTTATTTCCCATGTTGTCAAATCTGATGATCCGGAACTTCAACAGTGTAAACCAGCGCCGGACATTTTTCTACTGGCTAGCGCTCGATTTCCCACACAACCTACCTCACCAGATCACGTGCTTGTGTTTGAAGACGCACCAAACGGTGTGACGGCAGCACGTGCTGCTGGAATGAACGTTGTCATGGTACCGGACAAGAACATGGATAAGGCAAAATGTGCGAATGCTAGTGTGGTGTTAAAGTCTCTCGAAGAGTTTGATCCTGGTGAATGGGGATTTCCTCCATTTTAATAAATACGAACACCTAAATTCCAGTAACCTTTTTAAAAATATCCAAAGTGAAGAGGGAAGCCTATTTTAGGGCAAAATAACAATATGGGAATCTATTAAACATCAAACTACAGATTCGCTATGATCGATCTGTCTGGGCAAATGTGATATCCGTGATGTTTAGTAGAAAAATAAGGTCAAGTAGAAAACAAAAAAGCAAACAAATGTTTCTTGTTCCCGCTCGCTTCATTTTGTGGAGGCCGCCTTTCTTTTATTAACCAACAAGCGTTACTTTTAACACCAACTATTCTACAATCCTACGAAACAGACCTTACTTTTCATAAAACAAAGCATTTATTAATTACCGAGTCCTATATTGACGTTTTTAATTTTCCCTACCTACTGAGATGTATCGTATTTGTGTTTATTTATTCATATTAGACCGACGAACTCAGTCCAACTTATCACTGGAAAGGGTAATAATTTCTCAAGAAGGCTTTCAGTCGGCCATAATTAAAAATATTGTCGGGAATAAAAAGCGCCCGCTCTTTCTCTTTTTAAAAGAAATCCGGACGAGAAACTCTTTTTTTTTTTACTTAGACTTACCTTGTCCACAAGGTCGTTGTCAAAGGCCTCGCGTTTGCTTTCAGTGGAACTAAAGGTGTGAAAAAACGGGCAACAAAAAAACATGCAACTTGTCTTGCAACACTGCTGAAAAACGAGTTGAATAGCGATGTTGCGCTTTTTAAAACCACCCACATCAAACCTGTCTTGCAACAAATCAGGTTGTTAACAGGCTCGAACGTGGCTGGTAAAACGCGCAACATCGCTTCTCAATTCGTTTTGCAGCAGTGTTGCGAACAAGTTGGACGTTTTTGTTACTCGCTTTACCGAAGCGTAAGTCAAGACTGTCCGTTCTCCATTGAAATGCATGGGCCTAATTGATAACTGTGGGTCCAGTAAATCTAATCCAAAGATCTGTTCATGTTGTGCTCAGCAGCATAATTAAAAATATAAAACTGATCTAGTGAGGCCTTAAACTGTTTTTTAAAAAGTAACATCTAAAATCCAAGCTTTGCCGATCCACGGCATCATCAGGGATGAGAAAATATTCTGCGCGCGCTATATACATACAAAGAAAGTGTAAGGTGAAATGTGTGAAAGAGGTTACGTATGTATGAAAGCTATAGAAATAAACTGTGAATGGAATACAAAGCTTGGATTTTAGATTTTACTTTTTAAACAGCAGTTTAAGGCCTCACTAGAACAGTTGTATATTTCTAATCCAAAGAATTTACTGGCCTGTGGATTTTCACTCCTCGTATATTCAGGGTGGGTATATACACGTGTTTTCTAGCTTTCTGTCCATCCCATACCCCACAAAAGAGCCTTAGTAACACCAGGGCTTCTGTTAGTCACTGATCCAACGCGATGTAGCTTGTGAACATTCGGCACCCAAACGATAGCTGTCCGCCATAGAGTCATTAGGGACTTTAAGATCCAACGACGCGGACGACAACGAGAACGTCAAAAAAACAATTGGTTTAATAAGCAAAACAACAACAACTCCCGTGCAACACACTTTTTTGTACATTTCTTTCCCGTTTTTGCACGACTACGACGTGAAAATGCCTAATTTCGCGTTTTATGGAGGACGTAAACAAGCAACGACGAATTTTTGTTTCTCTTTCTGAGCTTGAATATGGTCCCTTGAAATTTAGCTTCAGGAGGGTTCGCCCACAATTGACAAAGTAGGTGGGTAGGAATAATCGCTATAAAGACTGAAAGAACGCAAATTCACTTTTTAAGCGACGTTCTTGTCGCCGTCGCGTCGTTGGATCTTAAAGTCCCTATTACATTTGAACACCACAACGTACACGGTACCACAGGTACCCCAAGCTCACGAGTGAGGATCGTTGTTGCGTACAGAAATCTTACAAGGGTCTGTATAGGAATTTTAGTGATAGATCAAAAATAGCAATTAAAAGACATCGGAACTCCTTACCTTGTTTCCTTGTTTTATTTATAGTGTGTTCTTGGCATTTTTGGCTGTTTCAGGACGATTCCAGCGAGTTTTAGTTCTGCCGTTGTTCTCTCTCTGTGTAGAGAGATGCGGTGTCAAGATGCATAGACAAACCCTTACAACGTATTTGAAACAACTAGAACATTTCATCAAAATGTTCCTGTTTTGTAAAGTAGGCAGATAAGTGCAATAATGAAACTATTGTCTTCGTCGTCTGAAACGAAGATAAGGTAAAGGATTGCACTGATTAACTTGAAAAAAGTTAGGATTACTCTTGCAAGTTGTGCTGTCCTCATGTCTCGGCCAAAGAGCATAATCCTTTTTTCTTCTTTTTTGTTTTTAACCTCTGATTCACTTGAAAACTACCCGTGCTTCTCCTGCAAGACTATGAGGACCTCGCTTAAAATTTTACCAAATGATAAGGATCCCAAAGACAGAGCATCGTTTGTTTAAACAGAATTCCTTTATTCGTTAAAGCATAACTTTTCCTTTATTTCTAAACGGAGATTTCTCTACTGTATCACTATATTACAAAAACACCAGTTTCGGTCGCCTGCTAATGTGCTTCTTCTTTCTTAACGAAGCCCATTGCAATGAAAATCGATAGTGGGGGAATACTTGTAGCATTTACTCAGTGACCCTGTGTATACTGATACTTTTCAATACGCCCTTTATCTTATTCTTAAGTGAAGAACTAAAATTCAACCAGCAGTTTGCCCATTATGAGTAGCGGGATCATTGAAAAGATAACATTGACTTTGGAAAAAAGGAGAGGGAGAGAGTTCCGTGCAGAATTTTAACGTGACCAGCCTACATGTAAATCAGAACATTGATAAGATGCGTGACACAGCTCCATTTTGAGTCTCATTTGGCTCCCTTAAATCAGGGCTAATACGGTCCAATTACCAAGGGCTGATTTGGTCCCAGGGCTGAAATGGGCCCCAGCGTGGGCTGGAAAAGCCTTTTGATTGAGCTTTTTTGGCCATAAATTGTGCTCAAATGGCTCCAGGAGCGGCTGAATCAGACTTTGACCTGAAGGGCTGAATTGACACTTTGGGGCTGAAACAGATCTTTTTAATTTTCAGTGTATCATCAGCTTTCTTTAAACATATAAAACAGACTAATAAAAAATCGGTATTAAAGCTTGTATTAAACATTAAATCTCGAAGCCGCGTGCTTAAGGATGTCAAACTCGTAATATTTATGGTCGGCTGCACAATTGTTTTGGATAGACCGTGATTCCCTTTTGATTGGGACCAGTTATAAGCGAAAATCCGTCAACACTGCTTAGGAGAACGCCATAAAATTAGTAATGACCAGTGAAAGATACCAAGTTTGATAGTTATTTGTAAAATAAAAAATAGACTAAAATAGTAACGAAGATAGAGCTCAAGAAAGTCGTCAATTTTTGCAGACATTTTGATGGTGGGATGCAGGTTAAAATCTCGCGACTTTTTTCGAGCAATATCTTCGTTCGAATTTAACGTATCACCTTTTAACTTGGAAAGTTTCAGACCTAATTTTAAGGCGCTCTTTTTCAGAATGGCAATGGACATTTGCTAACAGGTCTTTATTAAAACTTGACTAAAACCGCTGTAGCAAGGTCTATTCCATATTGCAAACATCAATTTCACTATTTAGTGTAAATTTCCTATTCTGTAGAACTGTGGTTGAAATTCTGTTTTCAATATATAAACTGATCATAAAATATTTCAGGTCCCATTCGATTGACCCTTAGAAGGTTGAGAATAAATTAAATTTACTCTGAGACTGCTCTCTTTACTTATTAATAATTACGCATAGATCTTACTAACGCCTCTGAATCAGTGAAAATGTCATCATGTTGAAGCTTGAAGTGGCTGTATAAACTCCCGATAGAACGGGGCAAGGAGAAACAATTATTAATATTCCAGGGCGTTCAATTATTTTCCCCGGCGGACACCCATCAACTCAGTAACACAGAACTCTGAGAACATCCATTGTTTTATTTTAATAAAGTGCAGGCTGATGCGTAATCTCAGTCCTATCACGGAAGTAAAGGCACAAACACTTGTGAAGACCACTGACTACTGAATCCCTTCACTCGATCCGGCAGTAAAACATGCCTCTTCCTAAAGATCTTAATTTCAAATCTCCGCATTAATGATCATCGCTTATCCATTCGCCACGTTGTGCTGGAATAATTATCTTTAACCCACAGAATGCAAATGATCGCCAAGTCACGCTAATGTAAAATCCCTGCACGGAAATGTCAACAACATTCTTGGTTTCCGGGTGGATGGCGTGAAACTCTACACTATTTAACTGTTTTAACACGCACATGATCGCAGGTGTTCAAGAGACCACTCTGCCATTTCACGCTCAGAATCTTCATTGTCTGAACAATCCAAGCGAATTCTTGACCATTACCGTTTTTTGGCGTCTTTTGTCCCAGAGCATTAAGGCTAATGCGCACATTGACAAACGTTCCTTGTTGATCATTTAAGCGGAGCTTGTCGGTGTGTTTTGATGGATAAATCACGCCTTGTTCTCTATTGTTTTTCGGTGAAACGTTTTAGTCTCCGATGCTAACCAAGTCTCAAGATTTGACAGATCGTATTTGAGTAAAACAATGGTGTCAGGTTATTATCCAATTTGCTGTCAAAAAATGTTTGTTTTATAATTATCTGGGCTCTTACGCACTACACTTTTTGCGTTTTAAACTGTTTTGAAATAAAATCGTCTCAAAAAGTGGCTGAAAACTTCTTCCAAACAGTTAGGAACACTGTACGGTAAAATGGTTCTTCTATTAATGTTTGAATAAGAAATTTTCCTTTCAGTGTTAAAAGGCAAAAGAAACACCAGAGAGAACCAAAGCCTTCTGGCGTCCACCGTAAATAACCTCGACGTTTTGCGGCTATCAGGAGCATGTGTTGATATTGATTTAATGTGGTAGAAATCTGCACTAAAATGGGACGCTTTAATGACATGAGCTTTCCGTAAACATTATGTTTCTAGTAAACTGTGCGTAGATTGGACGATAAACGCCCTCTCGAGATTATTATGGCGATCCTTTTTGTCGGTGAAATAACAGGTACTTGGGACAAACGCGATCAGCAACACCAAGAATGAAAAAACCTTAATAGATGCTGAAAATAAAAACACTGTGTTTGAATTTCTGTTTTCCTTTTATATTAAGCACCATTCTCCCTTTAATAGTAGCTCAATGGGTGCTAAATGGAGTTTTTCTGTCTGTTATATCGCTTGTTTGATAAGATGTTTATTGAGCCGAACCAGCGTCTGAGTTGCACCCCTAAGTTTAGCATTGGATGTAAATCTTTTGTCCATGAAAAAAATGAAAGTGGGCCTAAAATGGTATTTTGCCACTGCAACAGATACCACAGGTAGTTGGAAGCTCATGTTAAGGGAGATAGTAAGACAAAATGAGGGCACAATAAAAAAGATTAATGACGGGGAACTCCATTTTTACAACCAATCGTGGGAAATCAATTTCCTTCTTGAAGGCCGTATTATTTATTTTTGTAATCATCTACATCGCTGAAACATATTCCTTTGGCCTGGCACATGTTCACTAGCGATGAACGTGACCAGCAGCAAATGTCCCCAAAACCCCCTTGAAACCAAAGCGAGTAAACTGTGGAAAACGTGTGAAGATATCCTATGTTGACACCTGATATATAAGAAATTACTGGAAACCCATCCCAACGCAGGTGGACTCGGTAAGAAGTAAAACTTTGATTTTTGTCTTTGTTTAGGCTCGTGTCCTCGCTAATCAAATATCAACGAGCTAGTCCAACTTTAAGGTCCACTGTATAGAATGCGGAGTGAAACAGAGACCGTTGATGTAATAGAAAACTTGTTACTAAAATGGCTAGAACTGTGAATGATTGTACGGCTGAGTCCTTAACTGTTCTTCGGATAATTGCGTGAAAATGAGAAGATGAGATTTTGTCATCTACCCCTTTTGAGTATTATAGTACTGTGTGAAATAGAAGGAAACTAATTCTATTGTTCCGAACAAAGTGAATAATTGAATCCCCTTGGCAAGTTTTGCTCTAAAATATCAGACCTCGGTGCCGGTCTTGATATTTTACGAGATCATTGTCTTAGTTATATATTACAGCACAACACGTGAGTTGAACAAATCCATGCATGGCATCTAGAATTTATCATGATTTTAATGTTCGGCTAGAGTAGTATTAAATTCCACTTTTTCTTGTTTTGTTTTTTTAGCTTCGCTGTCAACTGTTGGACCAGAAATGTCAGCAGTAAAAGTTTTAAAATAAACATGTAAAAGTAAATGGTAGATCGATTAATATGCTAGAGACTAACTGAGTTAGTTCTGAAATGGCAAAATCACTTTCTTGTTGGCTTTTCTGTTTCGCATATTATTCTGTTTTAATGCCCTTTTAGTTGACTAGAATGAAATAACAATTATGAATGCTAATTACATTGAGCTAACAAAAGACGATTTTATTGGAGTCGTGCGCCTGGTAACGAGAGTGCGGTACGAAAAAATGCAAGTTTTTTCAAATCAAACTCTCTGTAAACGGGAGTTCTTTTTTTTGTTTAATTCAAAGCATGTTCATTTAAACCTCTGCTGATTCAGGTGTCCCTTACCCTGGCTTTCAATGAAATTTCATTGCTATTCTCCTTTGCTGTATTACAAGTTGCAGCCTTTTTCCGTGCCGATTAACAAATTGCCAATTTTAAAATTATTTTTTCTTATTTCCATGGGAAAAACCGTTTTCTTAAGACTCGTTTCATCTGCCTAAGATTAGAACTAATCCCTTATTTTCTCCCATTCAGTATACTTTCAGCTCATAAGGACATCAATTGGTGTCATTGTTATGAACACACAGAGCAGAAAAATGGAGTCCTTTTTTTCTCTTTTACGGGAAGTGGCCACCTTTATGTCCGCGAAAGACTTAATACGCTTGGAAATACGAAATACTATTAAACTAATAGAAACGTCTCTTTGAGTTAAAGTTTTACAACCTCTATATAAACAAGACCAATCTTGGTTTCCTTTACGAATGGACTTTTCAGTTGCGCTAAGAGTTTCTCGTCGCCAAAAGGGCTCCTCAAAGTGGGATGAGTGGTCATTTTCCACGGAAATCGATTTTTGTTTGTTAAAAAGTCATTCGTCATTAACCCCACGTGCAGTCTGTTCCTCGTGATCCAGATAATGGCGGTAAAAATCCCCATTGATCATGCAGTGTTTCCATCGATTGTGGTCAACAGTCGACACGGCTTCGGGAAATAATACACCCAAACAATTGGGTCCTCTCATTTTCCAAAGGGTTTCAAATGATTATGCAAAAGGCCTTTTATGAGGACATGTGGCTCATTGAGAACATGTTTATTAAATGAAGCCTTGCTCACCCATATGATTGTCTTTTCCGAGGAAAAGTAGCCCCGAGGACTGCTTTTCATTCTGCATCTGGGTTTTGCATGTGTGGTTTGAGCATATGCTTATCTCGCCCTATCATCGCCAACACCCAAAGCTTTTCTGAAAGACGTTTGGCACATCGGTGAAATAGAATTATCTCTCTTTTCTCATAAATGATTGTTTATTGTTATGCATTCGTGATCAGGCGATGCAGATGTGTTCGACTATTAAATCTTATGAGGAATTTCAACCCACTCTTGAGAACGGATCACTCCTTACCCCATCCCAAACTGGAATAAGACCTGTTTCTTGAGCTCCATAAAACGGTACTCGAGATTTCTAACACTCGAGGATCAATCATGAGCCTTCCCCCACGACAAGGCATCCCCAAGAGCGTGTTATTATTTTCTTTCAAAATTTTACATTGTCATTTCACGAAATGAGCCAAAGTACTCTTTGATCATACAATTGTTCTGTGCAGCTCTCCCTTACGGCTTCTGTAAATATTTGTCTAGCATAGGCATTGTTTGTCACAGTCTACCACTGTTCTACAACAGTTTAGACAGTAGACCCTCCTGGTGCCAGCAGTTCGCTTGTATATGTAGCACTTTAGAAACAGCAAGAAATTACAACGGGCGAGGTTTTATCTTTTTAATTGGTGTGGAATATATAAAGAAATTAAAAAAACGAAAGCCGACGTTTTTAAGGCACGTCGTCTCTTAGCAAGCCGGGTGTCCATTATATTCGAGTTACGTTTTTATGCTTGTTGAATCCTTGTACTTTTCAAAAAGCAGTTACGTTGTATGTGACGAAGGGCCTGAGTCACTTCAGTCGACACTTATCTTCTGAAAATGAACTGAATCTTTTGCCTTTCTTCTTTGAGCATGCGCATTATGATTCGTATTCTTTGAGGCTTGAGCTCCAAACGTAATAACACCGGGTCTATCTCAACGGGCAAAAAAATATGGTTTTGTGATGAAATCTAATCTATCCTTTGTTCAACAATTTCTCCTCTAAAACGGACGTTTTCTGGTAAAGGTTACATTTCAAATCGCGTTGAAATCTCAATAAGTCGAAAAAGACATTAAAACAAAACTCACTCCTCGTGTAAAACTCCCGCTTATTTTTCACTTGGGGAGAACTTCTTTCATATGATAACCCTTGAGCTATTTAAAGCAGATTTTCGAACAAGCCCGAAATGTTCCTCTTCACTTAATTAAAATGATTTTGACTAATTAACAACAAAAACTGCGAATTCATTAACTTGTATTCGCCGTTGATCTGATAAGGGGGGATAAACAGTCCATAATTCAGACAAAACTATAATGACTGGTTCCTCGTATATGTTGTATAATACAAGTACCTCGTTTACTTTGTATAATACACTGTTTGGCACTTCGGTTCACGCCCCTTATGTCGATAATGGCTTGATATTCACCCGGGTAGGCGATATCTTTGGGTATTGTTTTCGCGGGCTTTAAAAGAGCAGAGCTTATCGTATTAAGGTTCATTCATTACAGAGCCTAGCGGGAGTTTTTCACGGAACAAGCGAATACATCACGATTTGACGAGTCAAAGGGTAAGAGATATTTTATTTTCCAATTTCTTCAAATTGTAAATCGATTATTAACTTATTAACGAGATTTAAGTTTGATTGAAATTAGAGTTCTTTACCGAATCTTAATTTTTAATAAGAAGGGTTATTTTTTTAGCACCATTTCGTATCTCTCTCCTCATCCGATCGCTTTTTCACCGTCAAGGAGAAATGTCTTCTCAGGAGGAACGATAGTTTCTAAATAATTAAAATTTCCCGCTTTGGAAATAGCGATAACGTAGAAGGGAAACATGAAAACAGGTTGGCTGAGTTTTTCCGCGTCCTCGTTTATAAATTGGTTACCCACGCTAAATTTGAAACCAATCTAGACGGCCTGTCGGCTCCAATTGTCCTTTTATTTACCCAAAACAAATCGGAGAGTCGGTAATCGGAAACTAGGTAAATTTTTCCCCAGTGTTATTTTAGAATTAATCACTTTGCAGTTTTGCATTGTTTCTTTGAATAATTATGATCGTGATTTGTGATTGATTTCTTCGATCAAGGAAACAATTTATAGAATTAATACGATTGTAAAATATACTGAAAGATTAGATTAGCCAATGTGGTGGATTCAGGCACTGCTCATTTATATGATTTAACTCCAAAAGCGTTCCGATCAATAATTAAAAAAAGAAATACGCCGATAAAGACATAAAAACCAAGGGAAAATAAAAAAAAGAAACCCTAAAAGTGTTTTAATGTTTTTGTAGATAAGGCATCACTTTTTCTTTTTACAACGTTTTATTAATAATTTAGAACAAGATTTGGGTTTAATATTTTATGAATTTCTCACACACGTATTGAGTTTCAAAACAGTGCGTGTGCTCTTTATCGCCAATTTAACTAACCCGACTTGGAAAAACCTACCGCTAATATTGGTTCAGGCTCGATAGCCAATTCTTACGTTTAGAGAACTAAAAATAAATTCCTTTAGTTGTCAGTATTATCTATATGTTTTTTTTTTCTTCTCCCAAAACTATAAAAGTGCACAAACTTTAAAGTCACAGTAATCACACAATTTTAGAACTGTTTTGTTTTTTGTTATTAAACTATTATTTTTTCAAAATCTTATAAGAGTTATACTCACTTGCCTTTTAGCAAATCTAAACTGACTTCTACTTTGTTAGATGAACAAACAATGATCTGGGATGAAAGAATCGAAGCCCTTGACGTTTTAAAATATTCATGCTGTCTTTTCTTTTTCAGTCGTGCTCCTATTATATTACCTAAACCCTTCTCGGTCATTTTGACTTGTTTAAAAACAATATCATGACAATAAGACCAAAATAATGTCCACGTAACCGTCTTTGTCTTGGTTTGCAGTAATTATTTCGTTGCTCTTTGCTTTTCCTTCTTTTCTTTTCTTTTTTTTTTCCGAGTTTTTAGTTCCCTTTGCAGATCTCTTTGCTTCCTTCAAGAAGTTATCCTTTATCTATTTCTTTGTTTCGCTAAACACACCGATTTTCGTTAGCTTTGTGTTACATGCCTGTGTACAGGTTCTTTTTAAATAAATAATCAAAGCTGTTAATGCATTGAAGTATTTTGATTTAACAAAGCGTGGTCAACATAACCAGCAGTGACATTATCGAGATTTTTAATTACTTTTTAAACCGCAATCTAAAGAAATAATCGGACAAGGACTCGTATAATCATATTATTTTCCAACTACACAAAAAGAGTTCAGATTGTCATGAATGAGCACTGTTTAAATTGTCATGCTCATATGAAGATCATTTATTTTTAGGACGAGTTTTCTCAACAACCTACAATGGTTAGCCAAGTTGTATTTCGCCCAGCGGAACAAGAGCAAGTACTCAACAGCACTGTCTACGCAGAGGAAAGATGTTACCCTTGGATGTTTCGCGAACAAGCCCCTAAGAAACCCGAAGAAAGCCGAAAACACGTAGGAAGAAGGCCGAAAGTGACCGTCCCGGCAACCGTGAAGCGATATCGGCAGCTTCGGAGAAATGCAAGAGAACGGGAAAGACAAGGTCGCCTAAACAGTGCGTTTGACGTGCTTCGCAGCGTTATCCCCGATTACTTATCAGGCAAAGGACCCGAGGGGAAACTAACGCAGATTGAAACATTAAGACTGGCAACACATTACATCGGAGCTCTCTCGGAAATGCTCGATGACGAAGACACAAAGCGAACATTTAACGATTTCTGCGGCTGTGGGTATTTTAGAGAGAGCGAGGGCTTCTCTTTCAATGACTTGAGCTGCTTGACGAACATTTAACCTATAATTTTTTTCTCGGATTTAGAATGTTACAAAAAAAAGTGGATGCACTGACTTCGTAGTTTGGCCAAATGGCGCATGATGATAATGAAAAGAACAAAGTTGAAGTAAAAATCCAGTATTGTATATAAAATGAAAATATTTTTATTATAAAAACTTTAATTGATGTAGTTAAATAATAAACATTCAGCTACTACTTAAAAAACCATGAAAAGTCGCTTTTTTGTCTTACGACTTGGTTCATTTTAATTCATTTCATTTTCCAAAATAAGCTGGTCATATTATGGGCATTTTTGTGGAGATGTGAAACTTCTGTCTTGGGTGGTTGCATTGATTTTACCATGTTATCATTACTTAATTTAGTTACGTGATTGTCTTAAAGTCTTCGTTTGCGTGCCCCTTTTCATGTGTTTGAGTCAGTACTGATCACTATCAATTAAATTTGCACTTAATGGTTCTTAATTGCCACTCCTGTTCTTAATAAAGGTACGTGGGTGAACGCCCTGTGTGCACGAGACGCACGTTTACCTTTGTACGTTTGTATTCAGTCACAGTAAGAAAATCGTCGTGGTAAACCTTTCGTGTACTGAAAGGTGGTAAACGTGGGCAACCAACTCCGTCATACATGAAGAAATAAATATGCGAATCCAAACAATTAACGCTTTGCGGTCACTTCGCGTCCAAGTCATTTCGCCCTGTTACTTAGCTCCCTATTTCAGAACGAGGAATATGACATTTGAAGCGAGATTGTTTTGGTTTATGGCTTAAAGAAGGACGAATATCACATTTGAAGCGCGTTTGTCTTGTTTTATGGCTTGTTGAACGAGGAATATTATATTTGGAGCGCGCAATAAGGGGCGAAATAACGAGGGCGAAATGACCGGTTACCCCGATTAACCAGTAAAGCCATTTCTGGACGTAAGCTTGAATGTAGAGAAGACAACTCATCTGGGTTTAGTAACTGCAATTCTCCCTTTATTTAAAAACTAATCTTACTTCTCGTTACTTGTTTTAAAAATATCACGAACACAGAAAATACGAAAAAATCCATTTGCTAAAAAATTCAGTTTATTTTTAGTGCAACCTACTGTTTCTGATTACACTTTAAATAGAAGACATTTGTTTATTCCTTTACACTGTAAAAGCACAGGAAAGTTCTTTTCTTATATCATACTATCGATTTCCTTTCTCCGTATTTGCCCCTGATTAAGCCATCAAAATCAATACAAGTATTTTCAAAAAAATTACCTGATACGAAGGACCACAAAAAGTTCCTGGTGTTTCAAGATTTTACAGCTGGATGTGGAAATTTTGACAATGTGCGAAAGATTAAATAAGTTCATCTACCCTGTGGCCAGTTATATTTATTTTCGTCAAATATCATTTATGAGATGCTTCCTGTAAAAACTTGAAACAAAGTTTGTTCTCAGATTTACGAATTAAAGACTATGTCACGGGAATTTCGTCTGTTTTGGTTGTTTGGTTTTATGTGACCGATTTCTTGCTAAAAAGGCAATTTTTGCGAAGACACGTGATTTTTCCTGCTAGTATATATTGTTCCGAATTTACAAAACCTAATTTTGAATGAAAGGGCTAATAACAGATTTTAAAATGTAACTTATATATTTAACCTGATCAAGTAAGTTGTCTTTACAAGACATTTTAATTTGAGATCTTCCTGGCGAAGAAACAGTTAAGATATTATTTACAAGTATCGCATTCGTTACGTCAGCAATGACGTCACTTGATCCGGGGTACGAGGAACTAGCGTTTTCACATCCGGGTATTTATTTTTTTCGTCCACGATGGCCTGGTATAGAGTTCTGTATGTTGCGCACACAACATCCACCGCTCGCTTGTGGACTGTATCTCTGCAAAGAAACATTGAAAATGAGGAATATCCTATATTTTGTCTAAACATTCCTGCATGCAATTTGCCACTCTATGAACTAAAGGGAGAATATTATGGGTACAGCCTTTGAGCAAACTACAGTTAGTATAATCTATTAGTTATGATTTCAGGGATCGTTTGTGTGGTTATTACAGCAGTCCCCAATAACACTGACGCGCCCGCGACAGGTTTCTTCCATCGGTTGAAAGCCTAAGTTTTCGTGGATGGCGATCAATAGCTTTTCTTTTCCCCACGCTCTGCTAGAGAAATTATTTCACTTGACGAGCAAATTTTCGAATGACAAAGTATTTCCAATTTTGCTGAGAAGCAGGACTATAATGTTGAAAAAAAAAAAGGACTTTGGCTGAATGAAATAGCTGAAAGACTTCCTGTACTGTGCATAGGTTTTCAGGTTACTAATCGAAAAATATTAAACGAGCCGTGACCGATTTGCTAAGGAAAAGAAACGGAAGACAATAGGTTTCAGCAGATAAAAAAATTGTCCTTTGAATGACTCTCCTTTCGGAGAGTGTATATTGTCACGTGAATGTGGATTTGTAATTTGTAGAAGTTTGTATCACTCTAGGTCATGCTATATTGAAGACGATCCATCTGTGTAAACGAGTTTGCGAGCACTGTCCTCGCTTTTTGAGTGAAAAAATGAGAGGGACCTTTCTCTAGCAGAGGGAGCGAAAAAGTCCTGAAAACATTTGATTGACGTTCGCGAAAACTTACTCAGATTTCAACCGACAGCAAAGAGCTTTCGAAGGCGCGAGTTATTCTGGTTGCCCTATTGACCAATCATAACAAACGTTTGTCCACCCAAAGATACCATAAATCGTTGCCCAGAGAGTTTGAAACCATTTACTCCGTAGCTTATGGAGTAATGAATTTCACTTCTTCACAAAAATAAATAAGCAAATACTTAACACCCCTTTAGATTTTTTAAGGGTTATAAAAAGTAGACAATTCGATATTGGCTGTGTTTACATAAGGCCTATTTTCTATAGCTTTAACCTTCGTAACTCTTGTGGACAATTTTCTTCCGTTAATAAAGAAATGTTCCCTCCATGCTTGAGTTTAACTTACCTTAAACGGGTTGTTCTCAAGAGATTGCACTGAGGCATAATTAAACTGTCCGGAGAAGAGAGATATTTGTCGAACTTTGCCTAGGATGAAGGTAAAAACAACATTTAGAAGAACGAAAATCGTAGTAAAGAAAGCTACAATTGGATCGAGATGTTATCAGCACTCGGTTTCTCGAATCTCCAGATAGTTCAAATCCAAAACTGACCTCCCATTCTCTGAACACTAATCCCATCCTCTTGATTATTAGAAACAATTCCCTATTAGGCTGTTTTTTTTTAACAGCTTACCATTCGGGCAAACTGTAGCTAGCATGAACTAGTGCAAAAGTCACGACACTCGGGCTATGCTGAATAGCTGCGAAGATTGTTTCGTTATCTTTAGTTAGTATGCTTACCATTGCGTCCTTGACGCTTTGCGAATCCATACCATGTAGAGATGAGAGAGCCACCTAACATGCGATGAAAGAGAAGACAGATTAACGGACTTTCTAGGCGTCTTCAGTCACTATGTTGGACAGAATTTTGCTTTCAATCAAATACTGTCCTTATATTTTATTGAGCCTGTACTGATGTTTTGTGCTTCATTCTATCGTTCAGACCAGATCCCTGATTGTAGTGAGCGAGCTATCAATTCTCCTTTTTTCCTTTTCTATGAGAACTTTACTGCAATTAGATGTACGTGCGCAGCGACCATTAAATAATCTTGAGAAAGTCTAATCGGGATGGCGGGGTTGTAAGATTGCATGTAAATGCAGGTTATTTTTACTCCACCAATCTGGGGTCCCCCACCTCCATGTGAACAGGCCCTTACACTCCAAGGGAGTCATAAAAGATTGTTCAAACTATTGAGCTTTTGAGTACTGTAAATCCTCTATTACGTCCTCCCCCAAACACCCCCCTCTCAAATAAGTCTCCTCTCTCTAATAAGCCTCTCCTTTTCAGGCGAAGAAAGTTAATAAGCCCCCCTCTCTGGTTAATTCACCAACTGGAAGTTCTGATTTGTTTTTGATCAGTCGGGCTGCATGACCTCCAACCTCTTGCACTTGAGCCTTTCCACTTTGTAATCTAGTTCTTTATGGAGAACTGATACCATCGTCTTTGCTAAAATAAGCCCCCCATCCCCTTCACAATTAAGCTACCTCCTCAAATGTGTTTGAAATAAGTAAGCCCCCGGGGGCCTTAATAAAGGATTTACGGTATATGGATAAAATCCTTTGGTGTTACCATTCAGATGAATTCCCTTTAGCAGTTTTCTTCTAGCGTTCGACCAAACTAACTGGTATTTTCCAACAGAACAACCTCCTTTTTAGCATTTCAAAAAATGTAATTTGGTTTTCTTTTTCATTTTTGACTTTGTACACTTCTTCTGGGTGAGGAAAGAATCAGAGGGAAAAGGAAAGTTAAACAGCCCAACACTTACGTACCCTTTGACTGCGATTTTCTTGATAGACTGTATAAAGACTGCCGACACCCGACCGAGCAAGAATAAACGACGCTTGTTCGCTTATTAAAGTGTCGAGATGCGCTTCCGTCTGAGAAAAAACACACGGCAATAGTGAGAAGTAAGACAAACAGGAGAAACGGTGTTTCAGCACATATCAAACTTCGAGACAAGAATTTCAGATACAACGAATGCCAAATTCACTCGACTGCGGCTCACGAATCCACTAGCATATTTTCCGGCTTGGAGAACACCAAACACGCCGTTTTATGCGATGAATAATGCAGGTGGCTACCTCACATGTTGGACCGGGCCATCTTTCAAATATTTTACTTATCAAATGGATAACAATTTCGCAAGCTAGATCATTGAAAAGATTTCATAAAAACAAACACAACACGACCAAAGCTGTGTAACTTCACTGCCAGTTTTTTTCTTTTTTATATATATATATTTTGTATTTTTCTTTTCTTTTCATTTTGGAACAAAATACTCTGAAGGTGATGAGAAATCATTACTTGTGGACTATTGAGTTTTAACACTCAATAAGTTCGAGAACGATCTCCCACTTGTGTTCTCTATGAAATCCTGCCATCGTATCTAGTCTAAACAACGCACTCTGTTGTTTGAATTCCCTACCTGTCCCGCCAGCATTTCGATGTGTTTATCAGTGAATTCGTAAACCGCTAGAGTACTCTGAATCTGATGAATGCAATTTATCATATAGGCAGCCATGTCGGACGCATTTAAGTGGCTCGCGGACATCGAACACATCTGCAAAAGTGGATCCACAAGACAAGAGATGATCTGGAGGAGCAAAGCAAAAAGAATTGAAAACTTATAGTGGCAAAACCCCCTTTCGCAACGCTACCGCTGGTTTCCTCGCGAAATTACGTCCGAGGAACGGGCGCAGAAATTTCATACTGATGACGTGAGGGATAGTACTTCTAATTGGAAGAAGCATATTTCCCGCGTGGGACGACCAATCACAAGCACTTTCCAGACCTGGGTAGAGACACGTCATCAGTATGAGCGATTTGATTGGTTTATAGAACGGTTACAAACGCGCGTGGCTTTTGGTTGGTTAAGCGAACGCTCGGGTGAATGCCCGAGAACTTTCTAGAAATCAATCGATACCTCGCTTTGACGTCATACATGTACTGCAACACGATTGGTCAATCGAACAACGCCTTCGCCATATTAGGTTATTTTTTTGGCGCGAAAACGAAGAGGCCATGTTTTGATCTTTTCATCCATTGGCTGATAAAACAAACAACGAACACTTACGAGACTATTTTTCATGGTCATACGCAAATCACTCTAATGCCAACTACGCTTCCTTATTCGCTGTGGAACTTGAGAAATTACTTGTGAATAACAAGATCAGAGCTTCATGTCAAACGAATATGTCTCCCAAGCATAATAGCAAACATTGCAAAGAGCAAAAATGAACTTTGAAAACTCGTTAGGCTAACAAGTTTTCAAAAACGTCAATCGCAATCCGTTTCAATCTTCTTCGAGTTCAGTCCATCCGTGACTTCTTTTGTACTTGTTGTGTTATTTATACCTTCTTTTAATGTTTTGAGCGGTTATTTTATGTTTCACTCAGTTTGGAGACAGTTCTCACTATAAAAATTTCGATAAATTTCATGACTCCTACACAGTTTGGGTGAAGGAATATTATGATAAGCAAAACGCTTACACGGGAATAATCAGCTTGTCTGGCGTCCAGCGGGATAACAGAAGCATCATGAGACGTAAGCACGTCTTTTAGTAAACTCATGGTCTCTTTTAATGATTCTGTTGGACTGAGATCCGGTGGAGGTAGTTCAATCTAAGCAATAAAAAAAGAAAATAAAGTACATCAAGATAATGTAAACTGAACCACTGATGGCTAAACCACGGTTCGTACAACTTCAGACAAACACATTTCAAGGACTTTTCGAGGACAAATTACCGGTTTTCAAGGACTGAGATTTATATAAAAAATCGGAATTCTTCAATCCTCTCCTTGCCTTGTTTTCACGCAGCTAGACCTCGGCCATCCGAGAGGTCCGTAGTATTTGTATTCGGTGTACAAAGGGTTTAAGTAGATGTAGGTATAGTCAGTACGTTGGGTGGCATTGAAGTTATGTCAAAGTATACTGTACATGTACCACAGTGAACCTGCATGTTACAACCCACCTTTTCTAGCAGTTTACTTGCATGACAGTTAAGACTATTGAAGAACATCTTTAGAGCCAGGGCATTCATGTCTAGAATGGTAACTGTAACCGCCGACTCGTCACTTATAAGGCTCCTGTCAGGAAAAGAAAAGAAAGACGAGAAAACAATGTCATATACGCTACTCCGAAAACTACCAGGACACATTTGGACAAGTAAATCATAGCTTATTCATATGAGCCTAGCCGATCGACATTGTCAGGGTGATAAACCGTTAGCCCTGGAACGGCCAAAGTGTTAGGTAAGAGGCGTAAAGTTGAAAAGGTTCAACAGTTTGTGGTAACACAAGTTAAATGAAAAGGTTTTTATAAACACAATCTGTTATTTTGAAAGTGTCAAGATAGCTTGCTAAGACTCTTATGCATCTTATCTCGAAGCTGGTAATGGATCCAACAGATCTTGTGAATGTAACACCGACTTGTTCACTAAGGAAAAGGCTAGCCATACGTAGCTTCAGCAAATGCAGACTTTACTAAGTTACTTTGACGAAGACCTTACCCTATTGTTGTACCGTAAAACTTAAGAATATTCGCCAGGCTAAACAGCATCACCGCTCCTGGCTCTGAAACGACAACCTGTTCCACTCGTACCTACAGCATAACGGAAACACTAATGTTACTAAAACAATCACTTTGAAATGATGAACTGATAACAGAACTTCTTTCAAGAAAAAGTTCATGTCATTTATTAAAGACTAGCCTGCGAAGCCGGCGGGATCGTAAGCGCGAACAGTGTTTTGGCAGAGGAGCTGCGATAACACTGTGAGGAGAATGGGGGAGACGCTTTTTCACGTTTCAAGGAACGGTTAACTAGTGGGAAACAGCTTCCAAAAAAAACATAACGATGGTAGAAAAAGATTTTTTCAAAGGTTTCCGATAGCTAGGTGAGGTGGCAGGAATCTGATCATTTATGGGAGGGGTGGGGGACTGTTGGAAAGGGGTGGGGGGGGGGTGGAACACAAAAGGAAAGCCGTCCCGGTTAAACTTCTTGCGCATTACACACAATAAAATGTCGTTCACTACCTACCTTAAAAGGTCTACATACACCTTCTGTTATGTGACTAAGGATTTCTTTCTGTGTTTGTTCGTCAGCTGTGAAACATAAGTTTTGTTAAGTAACTTTAATAAAAAATTCAGTTTTAACGAAGTAAAGTCGTTCACACATACTTGATGTTGAATGTCTAAGTAGACTGTGTAATAGTTCCTTTTCTGATGCTATAGCTTGATGAAGCCATGCTAACATGTCTCCAACATATCTAGAATAAAAGAAATAAGCCGAGAAACTTACGTCACTTGTGCTCTAAGGGTTTAATTTGTCAGTTGGCATTAAACATGCTATCAGACAAAAGTTTGGCAGCTCTCACAAATTCTCCGTTACATGGCAGCGCAGGGCCTTGCCGGCCGCCGGCGGCCGGAATATTACATATTTTACCAAGGGAAATCATTTTTATTTAATGGCAGTTGACCTGAGTAGAGTGTAATTCGGTAGAAAATCATACGCGTGATTTTAAAATTGGACGAGCGCGTAGCGCGAGTTCGATTTGAAATCACAAGTATGATTTGAGACCAAAACTGAACGACAAGAAGTTCAATTACCACTTTATTACAGCCGTTTTAAAATTGCAGCATTCAGTCAGTACCAATGTTTTGTTGATCTAGTAGCCAATTTGCTGAAAAGTGGAAACAAAAAGGCTTTTCAGTGCATCTCATTTTGTATTTGAAACCGAAATGATGTGATATAGAGCAAAAATGGTACGATTTAGAACAGAAATGATGATTGTTATTGAGACTATGGACGATGCGATTTAGAATAGGTGTGATTTTGCTGGAAATTTTGCTGAAACAGCGTGTATCTCTTCGACTACAAGATCACAACATGGAACGAAATTGAATAAGAAACTGAGACCTTTAGATTTGAGGACAAGGACGAGGAATGTAAGACGTAAGAATGAATACGAATCTGCGTCAGTTTTCAAGTGATGTGAAGATAACAAGATCTCCCTACCTAACTGGATCATGAGAATGTAATTCAATTGGTCTGGGTGTTCCTCCTGGACCTAAGACAAGACAAAGAAAAAAAATGCACAGTTAATCGTTTAATATTCTCAAGAAAATTCAATGAACAGTATTATTTCAGAAGCAGTCGACCCTGAAAATTACAAATTCAGCATCGCAAAACTGCTACGAATATTAAGTAGAGCTCACTTTCGTGGCCAGCAACTATGCTTTGTTCCTGCGACAAAAGAAATTGTTTACGCTAAGCTATGTGCAAACAGACGCAACAACTCCCAACTTTGTTGGGCCAACAATGAACAATATTGGAAGTTGTTGCGTAAGTGCTAGCAGTGGTGTACAAACAGATGCATCAACTCCCAACAATGTTAGGACGTGCATTGCATCCTGGGAAGGATACAACCCATACGGCTTTGGAAACCATGTGTAATGAGCATGCGTGGCCCCAACAATGTTGGAGGACCCGTGCACACAGATCCAACATTATTGCACAACACTTAGGCGATCACAGAACAAGAGAAATGTTGGGCATTGTTGGCTCATAAGTTTGACTGGTTTCAAACTTTTCACAACAACTACAAGCAATGCACAACAACATGCAACAGGGTGTGCAAATGGACGCAACATGTAAGATCCAACAATGCTGGGAGTTGTTGCCCAACAATGTTGCATTCATTCGCATGGGGCTTAAGAAAAGAGTTAATCGACCCCAAGACTGTTTGGGACACCAACATGGATGCCGCTTTATTGTTTTGGGACACCAGTATGGTGGAAGTGACATCATGTAAAAAGGCCTATGCAAAAGTACTGCTGAAGAGTTTTTGACTGTGAAAACTCAAACAATAAAGATCAAACTCAAAAGTCACAAATGTACGCTGTACAGTGTACTTACCTCCTCTTGTAAGAGCATCTATAAAACATCTAACAACAGCTGTTCTTCTAGCAGTTCCATATTCATCTAAAGTATACCTAAGAAGGTTGTGCATAAAATAAGCTAATTATTACATGATCTTCTAAAAATGCAAGTGCAGAAGGTATGTATGACCTTCACTAGATAAACCAGACTAAAAGAAAAGCTGCAAAAAGAACTACAGTGTACTGAGAGACACAAAAAAATCACAGTCATTTCAGAAGAAAAAAAGCTCTTTAATTTATGTACCAATTATTTCTTTGCCTATTAAATTTATTTAATTAGTTAGCTACTTACTTGAATAACACAGGTCTGTCCTGTAAGGCAGCCATTCCTCTGCTTAGCAAGTTTGAAATATCTGGAAGGTCCCCTGTTAAGCTTCTACACTCATCTGAAAATTAATTTATTGTACATGTTAATGCAGTGATTTTGTCACCTCTGCATCCTGCACCCCTGATGCATAAAAATCACCAAAGACACAAAATAGTTCATGGCATCATCCAGTAGGACGCAGAGAACGATCGATTGATTTGAAGATTTTTTAGTAGAATATTCTGTTCGCGTCATTTCTGTGGCTGTTGTATAAAGATGCATATTTATTTTAGTCTTTTTAATTTTTGTGCTTTAAATATACAGAAGGACTGTATTTTGATTCCATTAAACTGCAATAATAACAGTTTTGGCATCTGTCTCCAGATTAACTGTCTGGTTACATACGCTGTAAAGTAAAGTAAAGTATTTTCAATTTAGTACTTCTTGTTTTTCTGAACTGGGACTCGTGATTTTTCACAAGATGAGTCTCAAGACTCACCATAACTACCGTATTTGTAACAAAATCACTGTTAATGCAGGAGAGAGGGTACAGTGTATTTTACAAATACTGTTATATGGAACTACTATAAACAGTTGCAGAAAATTTCAACAACATAAATGCTTCATTGACAGAATTAATTTTGTTCCAGCAGAGGAATAACCGGCTCACCTTGACTCCATCTATAAAGTTTCTCATAACTTGACTCAAGATGTAAGGCCATTGCCTCCATAATCTGCAAGCTGATTAAAATAACCAAGAAAAGAATGAAAAAAAAGCTTTGTTTACAACTGTATGCTGGAAGTGCACATGGCTTTTCCAGCAAGTTCACCGGCACTTCACTCACTGTGTTTCAGACACTAACAATACATATGTACATGTATATTTCTTCATTTTTGTACATACCATCAGCATGAGGTAATGTATTTTCCCCTACAATATCTAGCCTTGTACTCAACATTGCAATAGCTGATCAATATAACACTTTTCATCTAGCACACACTGTAACAGCGTGCAAAGAAAGTCGTGTCTGATACCCCGAGGCTAGTGGATTTTGCAATTGGGCTAGTGAATTCCGTTCTTAACTTACCCGAAGGGAAAGTGAAGTTTTTAGGAAATTCACATTACAGAATAACTGTAATCAATGCCGCTTATCAAAAAATTTTTTGGCTAGTTAAAAAGACTCTTGGGCTCATAAAAAATAGCAACAACTTGCCCGAATGGCAAGTTGTAAAACTGACTTTCTTTGCACCCTGCTGTAAACAATAGTTATCACAACTCCCTATTTTCATTTCATTAATGTGGAAAGGCCTTCAAAACACTACAGATTACACAGCCTAGGATGACTTCAATAATAATTATTTACTTGTCCTTTTTTAATAATTTGTCGGCCACAGCTATTACTGGCTGTTACTGGTTTTGTTACTGCACTCACCCTGCTGTTTGTTGCTTTGTCCTCAACAGAACTTTGCAGTCATTGTGAATTTCTTTTACTCTTCCAAGTGCTTCAAAGAAATTCTGCAAAAAATGTAATACATTATGGGGTTGACAAGAGTAATAACCGGGCCCAGTTGTTTTGAAAAGCCAACTAGTGCTAACACATGGTTATATGTTAAATTCCAGGCTTCTTCTTTTTTTCAAAAGCATTTTCTTGGATATTTTGAAATCTCCATTCTCTTCAGAGCATCCAATCACCCAATTTTTATCCTTTGAAGTATTGAATTATCATCACAAAAAGAATTAGGGTAAATTTGCTTTTTGAGCTATAATTTATGAATTTTAATTTCACACTAACCCTGGGTAATCTTAACCCAGCTTTGGAAAACCAAGCCCAGATGAATAATGACTGATGAATTCAAAATGCTATGGATCCTACCAGATTTAATTTGTCTGGCACTGAGAAACTTGCAGCTTACTGGCAGACTGTCAAACATGACCGCAGGAGTACAATAAGAAGTATAATATACAGTAGAACCCCAGTAACTCAAACTCTGAAGGGGAAACGAAAAACAGTTCAAGTTAGGGAGGGTTCAAGTTATCAGGATTGACTGCAAAATTCAACTTTCAGTCTTAAAAATTGATAGAACTCACTGATTTTTCAGCATTTCAGTGTATAGTGCTGCAGCAGTAACATACGATTAGGCATTTTTTAATGATGAAAAGTGATCTGTTTGTTGCACCAGTTAAAATCAAATAGCTGTAGCATTAAACAGCAATGGATTTAATGTTTCTACTGATTAACAACAAGAAGAGTCAATGTGATGGCATCCAAGTGGAGTAACAAGAACCAGAATTCGAGTTATCGGGGTAATTTTTTGTGAAAGGAAATTTACTTCGATTTAGCGAGGAATTCGAGTTATCCTAGTTTGAGTTACCCGAGTTAAAACGACTGAAAAGTGGGGTGAAATTCAAGGGAAATTCAAGCTAATTAGCAGGAGGTTCGAGTTATCTGAGTTCGAGTTATCAGATTCTACTGTATGTACAAAAATAAAGCATTCTGACAGTTACAAATATGTACACGCACAAACCTCTGCCATGGGTCCATTCCTTGTTCCCTTGAGAGCCTGGGTCTCCTCAGGTTTTAATTGAAATCTTGAAATAAAAGCATCAGCCACTGTTTCCTTCATCTGAATTCTTTGGCTAAAACAGAAGAGCTTTTAGTCAAATATCTCATTATTGATCAATCCCTGGATGAATGTACAAATTGCAACATGTCTATCTTATTTAATACCATTAAGTAAAAACAAAACAAACAAACAAACAAAAACATACTTTCAAAAAGAACAGAAATTTAGGATTTGTACATTTTCAGGTCTACTGTTTCTCACCCCCATGTTTGTGTGATCGACCATGCCTTCAGGCTGCTCATGATTAAAAAGTGTGCATGCAACAGTGTGAGCTTGTGGTTAAGTCCTAGTTAAATCCAATTCATCCTTGGTTAAATCCATAAATACACCACAAGAAAGTGGTAACTATTTTTTATGCATTACCTTTCACTTTGAAGCTTTGTAGTTTTGCTGATTAGGTCTGAGGTCTGGTCTCTTGCAGACTAACGAAAACACAACAGAAAAAGCAAACAATTACCAGAGGGTTTTTGTACACTATCCCTGGGGAATTCTAGAGTCATAACAAGTGCATAAGTATGCATTCAATGGGCCCCTTGTGTGTCCAAATTGTGTTTTACAATAACTAGGCGATTTCTTGTGTGCCAAATGGTTCAAAGCTAAGGTCAATAATACTATACACCAAGAAAACTATGTGATGGTCGCACAATTTGTTTTTCTTTTCCTTGCGTGCACAATTTTCCCGAAAACTCAAATATTATTGAAATGGAAGTCAAACACTATCAATGTTATTCAAACATTGCTTCTTACTTCCATTACAAGACAGATTTGCAAAGATGAGAGAAGAGTTGCATTTTGATATAAGAAGGGTTCCTTAGGCTGTTCTGTAATGTGCCAGTCTTGATCAACCATAATTTCTACCGAATACAACTATTCCCGCATCGTGCCCATCAAACTTCATAGGGAAGTCAAGGTATCATTATAGCGTCATGATATAAAAGCTAACCTTAAGCCTGCTTGTCATTTCCGTGCAACATCTGCTCATTTCTTCAATGTCTGAATGCACATCATCGAGTTGCTACAAGACGCAAACTCAAGAGTTGAGGAACAGCAATTTAAAAATAGTAGAGAACACTGTACATGTATGTAAGTTAGTTTTGAAACTAGCTTAAACTCACACATGATGAGGTAATCTTCTTATCTCTTACCTGCTTTACTTCCCTGAATGCAATCTCGAAGCTCTCGTTGATAGCTAAACTTCTTTTTTCAATGTTTCCACGTAAATTTCGTCGAGATCGCAAACTATTATCAGCAAAAAATGTCGAGAGGGCCTTCAGCGCCTCCACCATTTCCTGCAGAATAACAACAAATTTTGCTCCATTAACCCTTTTTTTCCTACCAAGAGAATACAGATGGATATAGAAATACTTTTACCTTGTCATTGTCTAGTCTAGTTTCTAGGATCTTGTTTAGTTTTCTTGATAGCGGGTTGTTTGGTTGGGATTCACTGCCTTCCGCCATATTGGAAAATATCCTACGTGGCCATACGATTGCGCATGTTGCTCTAAGAAAACCGCTGGCCAAATGAACTGCATTCACACTTCCCCTCTGTCACACTCTCTGTCACTGATCCGGATGAAAAAGTGTCTTTCTCATGTAATCACCTGGATTAGAATTCACCAACACATTTTCTGTCAAACAAATCCTATGCCCAACAACTCGTTTTCACAGCCCAGTTTTTCCGCAATCTCCAGCAAAATTTGATATCAAATACAGTCGAACCTCGCTTGGCTTGGGCGTCTGGAAAAGCCGGAAACCGGAATCCGGAATAGGAACGGGAATGGGAACAGGAACCGGAACCGGAACCGGAAACAGCAACGGAACAGGAACAGCAATGTGAAGGGGAACCGATACAAGAACAGGGATATCATTTACTTTAAATTATTTTAATTCGAATTCAATTTATACAAAAAATAAGAACACTACTCTGGTATCATGCTCCCCCCTCCCCGAATCTCTTTATAATACGGCAGCGAGAAGGTAGAAAAAGCCGCAAGTTAAATAAGTAAAGCAACAGCTTTGCGAGTGCATCGAATCGCGCTTTCTGTCAATTTCTTCACCGCGTATGCACAACTACGATGTAAATGATCAAATCTTAAGTTCTCTTGAGAACGTGAACGGCAGGCAATAAATTTTATTGTGTCTTTCTGAGCTCGGACGCGGTCTCCAGCTTCATTTCCCAACCTTTAAAAGACTGGGCAATTCGGAATTAATGAGAAATAGTTTGAATTAAGACCCGAATTCAATTTCTCAGTGGCGTTTTCGCTGGCGTTGCCGTCGTCAGATCTTAAGGTTCCTTTTGTCTCTCACAGAAAGGTGGTTATCACATGTTAATATTATTTGTCAGACCATGTGTATACGAGACACCCAGAGATAGATAGTCCACAGCTTAAAAAGGGTATTAACAAGTACCTCCTCCCCCCCCCCAACCCATCCCAGCCAGTACTTCATCTACCTCAACCGCGTGCAATAGGGACCTTAATAAGCAAGCAGAACGTTGATGTCCAGGACATTAAAAATGGAAACTGGAAGTGGATGTTTTCTGTCTTTAGGTGCTCTGACTCAACAAATTCGCACAGTGGAAGGTAAGAGGAAGAATTCAGATTCGTTGTGTGAGACAGAAACGTTCCATCAAGCGACGGTCAGCGTTCTCGTTGCTTAAGTTCGCTATTATGTTTGACACGAAAACACAATGTGTCATAGGCTAAAGATAAAGAAATGTTAATTAGATTAATATTTCAAGGGTGTTTTCTTGTTTCTTTAATTATTTCTCTGCCTTTTTATTTATATCACGATTATATCTTTTTCTTTTCATATTTCTATACACTGTTTATATTTCCCTTCCTATTCCGGTTCCTATTCTATTTTTCCCTTATTTTTCGTATATAATCTAAATAGGAATTAAATCCAGATTAACTTAAATTAAGGTAAATGTTGTCCCTGCTTTTATATAGGTTTCTCTTCCCATTCCAGTTCCTATTCCGGTTCCGGTTCCGGTTCCTGTTCCTATTCCCGTTCCTATTCCGGATTCCGGATTCCCGCTTTTCCAGACGCCCGCTTGGCTTCCAGACCTTTCTTTGCAGACACCTGCTTGATACGGACAGTTTTCTTTATGCCCATGCATGGAGAGCCCTTAAATTTTTCCTAACTTGATCAACCAGCTTAATACGGAAACCGGTTAATGCGGACAACGGACATTTGTTTCTTGCCCAATCAACAGATTCTGATAAAGAGTCAACCGCGCTAATTAATGCGGACACTTCGCTATCAACTGTGTGCGGTAAAAGACCTTTCCTTTTTCGGGTAAAAAAAAAACACCTTCAGTTGACAGCATGTCGATGTTCCCAGCGCTACAGTACATCTGATAGCATGTTGTGCAGACTATTTTTATCAAATGAGTTATGCAGAGAACGGTTTTTATGTCTGAGTGATTTTTGAGTGTTTCCGTGGATTTTGTCCGCGGAATGACTGTTTTTGGCTTGAAGATTGGAGGTGTTTAATTTGACAATGCTAATGTTCTCTTTTATTCCGTCTGTATTTTGCCCGTACAAAAGGTGTTTGTTTTTACTTGACCCTCTTAATACGGACACTGTCTATGGTCCCTTCGACAGTGTCCGTATTAACGAGGTTTGACTGTATGTACTAAAAATCTATTCCGATTATACTAACCCCCCTCGGATAAAAGCCCCTCCGTTTGTAAGCCCTCTTAAAACCCCTTATCCCTGCCTATAAGGAGCACTTTATGGTATCATACTATCAAGAGCCATAATATGGCTCTCGATACTATGCATGCGTATTAACACCAATATGAAATAGAGCCTCCATTTCGCGGGAAAATACGACACAGCAGCCTAGTCCCTAGGCGTTCTCTCTTGCCCCCTTGTCCGCGCAAAGTCGGGGAAAGAGCGGGCGAGAGTTCTCGGCGAGTCGCTCTCGGTGACGTCACAGCTCAAGGTAGAGTCTAGGATTGACCGCGCCGATGAGGAGAATGCGAAGGGACCAGGCTGGCGAAACAGTATAACGCGAAAACCGCTATTAATTTGTAAAGGTAGACTTCAAAGCTACAGTCAGAAATTCGGAAGCTTTTCTTTTGATGTTTTTGAAACAAAAAGGAGCTTAAAATGTTCATCAATATGTAACAAGACAGTGAGAATGAAGAGTTAAGTTTATTTCATCCTGTTCAATCTTGTATTGCAGGGAATGAGTGCAGTTCAATATTATTTTGACACGAAAACATTCCCCAGTCACAGCACATGACTGAGCCACCTGCCATTCTCTAACCACACTGAGAAAATTGAAAAGTATGTTTATTTCTCTGCGAGTCAACTAAGAAAGATTATTGACTGACGGCGAAAGAAGAGCAAATTAAAGCTGGCCTGGTGATAATCGCGGTCAATGTCCTGTTTAAATAGTGTTAATTATAGATGATTGCGTAGAATCTTTGTGCAGGTCCTTTTAGTATACACAGCGCATTTGCTCTTGACTCAGTGACTTAGGGCCAAATAGGACACATTTACGGAAAGATTGGTATTCAAGGGTGTTAATTAAATAATAAATAACGCCACAAATTTTGATAGAGTTGAGCAAAATCAAGGTTTGCATGGTTCGGTAAAACTTTCAATTAACGCGAATAACTCATAACTGCTTCTAGAAATTGTTAATTCGCTCCAATTAGATTTACGTTGATATTTAGAGCACTTGATATTTGATGACTAGTATGCCTACGCATACAAGCTCATTAGTTTTGTAAAACGCAAGATTACGATTTAACAGCTAGGTCTTTGTTAAGACGCAGTGCCAACGAAGACCCCTGGTGGTTAGAAAATAAGCTCACTGAGTACTGCAAAACATTGAAAATTTCCTGTTCGGAAATTTCAAAGCTGCGGAACTCGAATTTTGAATAGGAAAAGCATATTCACAATTATCTGAATACCGTTTTCCCATATCCTATACCTGCGACTGGAAATCTCAAACTGATTCCAAATGTGGATATGACAAACTTTCACTCTGTGGATTTAATTACTTTAAAGTAATTGCAAGATTTAGGCTAATACTTCAGAATTCAGGTAAGCTTCCGTTCGTTTCGGAGTTAAGGCTCACTGCGATGTCCTCAACGAGATTAAACTGAGTTTGTCTAACTTCAGTAGGACCCAAGAAGACATATCCATCTTTGAGAGGCTATGTTCAACAAACAAGATAGACAAGTATTGAGTGTGAATTTTGTGTCAAAAAAGCTACCAAAAAAGCCACCAAAAAAACCATTCGAGAATGAAAAACCCGTGTGCAGACGAAGTTGATGAAAAGTTTGAAAGCCGGTCCATCTTGTAATTTTGTTTACAAAAATGTAATATACTATCAATATATATAACACAAAATCGATCCACATTCAAGTAAAAAAATTAGTTTCTCGTTAAAATTCAGGTCATTAGCCAGAGCTATATGTTTTAATGCTTCTGCTAATTGCTAGTGAATTGTTCGGAAAAACCACAGGGTTGTGAAAACTATTAGGGAACAGATCTAAAACAATGAGCGAACGACCAATCGGAGATGGGGTTCACAAATTTCAGTAAAGCTCGACACAAACCAAGCCATTAATAAATTGTTTGAATTTCTCTTGTATTGAAGTTTGGGTGTGAATATTCAACGTTCACCTGTTCTTCGGCTTGTCATTCCAAACCGTAACCTGGTACGTGGATACCTAAATGTTAGGTGAGGTTGATCTTTAAAAATTAGTTTGTTGCAAAACATTTATAGCTTTTTTTGACCTCAATTTTCTATTTTGTGGGCAGCTGGCACGCATGTTCAAGTTTGCGTACTTGTATCCGAAGGCAAGTTATGTCACAGTTCCAGAAAAAATACCACCAAGGTCAATATTTAGAAGCGATAAACTGAAAATCTTAAAAAAATTCGAGTACTCAAGAAAAAAGCGATGATTTACGAGGTTTTTTTTAAAGATATGACCTGTACTATCTGCGTGAATCAATGACAATTTGGCATACATTCCCCGATATAACTAAATCTCAATAAAGTCTCTTCTCGCTTTCATTTCAGTATACTGGGAATTAATAACTACTAGTACGGACATATAGCCATCTAAATTAGGCTCATCTCGCTTGAAAAGGAAGTTGGGCTTTCTACAGCTAAAACATATTACTCTTCCACAGTAGTCGCCACACGCTACAGATGGGATATAAATACCATGACCGAGTTAAAAGTTTCGACAGTCTTCTGTGTTTTTGGGTAGCTAATTGAGTAACACTTTTTCATCGCATGAATTTCAACACAGAAGTTTCTTGAAATCATTTTTCTTTATCCCAGCGATTTCGCCAAATTTTCAAGTTTGCTTGATTTTCAACAATGTCAACGTTATTTAGCATGACGATGTTTTACTGAAACACCTCAGTGTTATGACGTTCAGTCGAAAGTTTCGATTTACTCGTATTCAGCTACGATATGGCTGATATTTTATGGGGAAAGCACCTCGCGAAAACTCAAATGAAGACAGGTCAACTTCATATGTAATTCGTTTGGTTATTCTTCAAATGTAGAAGCCAGCAAACCTTTTTGGCTTGTCATTTTCGAGACGAAACACCTGACGATTAATTTTTAACGATAACAGTTGTTTTTCTTTCTTTTGAATGTTTCGAAGAAAAACATTAGATGAAAATCAAGTGTTGATGAAATAGTAGTCTTTCTATCTTTTAAGTTTAATGATAATGGCCATTATGAGCGCGGTTTTTGATGAAGCAGCCCGGTTCATGTAAAACTAGAAAAATACCAATGTTTTTTCTTACGACGAAGACAATTCAGCTTTCTATATTTCTAACCATGCATCAATCTTTGACTAGTCGGGCGTCTTTCCAGGCCTTCTCGGTCAATGCATTTCAAACACACGCTCGGACCACGTGACTCAAAACGCATGATCCTCGCAGAATAATGAGGCCTAGGGAGCAGGCAACATAGCCTGTGTACAGACCCCGCCCCCTCCCCTCAGGAAAAATCGTCGAAGGGACCCCAGTAGGCTTGACTCCAGATACCTCGAACCCTCGAGCTAATTCGAACCGAAGTCGGTTTCCCTTGGATTTCCTTATTCATACATTTACTGTAGTTTTCTTCAGCATATTCGTTTGCGGTCTTTTGTAGTCCTTTGTGGTTAATCTTTGTAATTTTACCCTCGACCCTCGGCAACTCGAACTCCCCCGCTCCATCGGTAACTCGTAACTCGAACCTTCCTCTAACTCGAAGTAATTTTTTTGTTTCCCTTCAGATCATTTCTATATAATTTTACCCTCGATAACTCGAACCATGTTGTGACAAGTTGGGAAAAACGAACAGCGTACTGAAGTCTAAAACACTAAATTTATTAATAAATAACAGTGTCAATTCTTTGTCTTTGCCTTTGTGTCCTTCCAGTTCAAATTAAGTGTCCATCTCTGTTTCAAGCTTAGAGGCTTATTTTTTGGTTTCAAAATATCAGTCTTCGTCTTTTGCTGCCCTTAAAGTGAAGTGTGCATAATACTTGCATTCCCTCCCCATCCATTTGCCTTATTTCAAGTTCTGAATGTTCATGGGTGTTTATAAGGGAACTTTATACACTTGTCGATTACTGACAAAGTATCTGTCACATTTTTGTGCCTTTAAGACTCATGATTTGTTGGGAAGTTAAAAGTATTTCCACACGACCTAGGACCAGGTGAAGAAAAGTTTTTTCGGTCCCTATATGGTAGCCTTAAGGAAAATTAATCTCACTTTTAATTAATTACAGCTAAGTCAAAGACAGTTCGTTTCTGTGTTTCACATTTGAACTGACTTTGTTATGGTCCACAGGGGCAGATCCAGGATTTTTCTTAGGAGGGGGTGCACCAGTAACTGACTGATGACGTAAAAAAATTTAAAAGCGAATAGGAAGAAGAGGGCTTTTGACTAGGAAATAACATAATGTGAACTGCTGAGAATACAGATCAAACGATAGAGCAGATTTTGTATGTCTGTGAAGCGACTGCACAGTGTTAATTAGAAAGCGGTCTCAGGTCATCCGGGGGGGGGGGGTGCGCACCCCCTGCACCCTCCCCCTAGATCCGCCCCTGGTCCATGGTAGATATAGACAACAAATATTAACTGAAAGTTACAGCTCGTGCATTTAGCTTCGATTGATATAACTGTCTTTTTCTATTTCAGAGGATCGCTTACCCAAGGTTTTGCAAAACAAATCGGAGCACAAACTCCACAAAGTTATTCCTTTTCATAACAACACAATAACAACAACACGCTAGGACAAGCAAAAGAATACAACACTGAACAATTCGGCGAGACACCAGGTCGCGATCACAATAGATATGGGCAACAGAAAAACAAAACTAAAGAAAGAGGAACTGGATGACTTGTTGGAATGTACTCATTTCTCGAAAAAGGAAATCGAGGACTGGTACAAAGGATTCATGAAAAGCTGTCCGGATGGATCTGTTTCGTGCGCTGATTTTCAAGACATGTATTCAGATTTTTTCGAAGGCGACGCGTCCGAATTTGCAAACCACGTTTTCCGTACTTTTGACGCGGACAAGAGCGGCTTCATCGACTTTAAAGAGTTCATGTCCTCGCTGTCAATCACGTCACGAGGAAACTTGGAAGAAAAACTGGAATGGGCCTTCAAGATTTACGATGTCGATGGCGATGGGTTCGTTACCAAATCGGAAATGGAAGACATCATAAGATCAGTGTATAAAATGTATAATAACAGCCGTCTTGGAAAGAAGGAAACTCCACAGCAACGCACAACTAGAATTTTTGAAAAATTTGACGCTAACAGAGATGGTAAACTAACGATGGAGGAGTTTAAGTCTGGAGCAAGAAGTGACCCGTTTTTGGTATTGATGATGCAATACAAGTCCCTGCACACTGATCGAAAAGATTCCGATTGTTCCGTGTCCTCTGACAAAAGCAGTTATTAACTTGCGACTTCGGAGTAGTTTAAGCTCCGTTGAAAAATTGGTGTATCGAAACGCTTGAACTTGTAGTTACTAATTGGACAACTCTTTAACATAAGAAACAATAGCTGCTCTAGAATGCCTAAATGGTACGTAGATACACAGATATGCGACTCGAAACCCATTACTTTAATGAGTTCTACGGTATGCTTATTTTCCTACTCAAGCATTAGGCGAGCCTGGGTGATATCGTGAAAAGTCACGCGCGTGTCACGTGAGATGATCGAGGTTCCACTGGCGAAAAATGTCTACGCATTCGCCGCGACGAAAATCACGTGGTCAATTTCCGGCAAAGTCATTGGCTTATTCGAGGCAAAATCCCCGCGAAGTGTTGTCAAGATGAAAGAAGAAATGGCAACTTCTTTTGTCAGTGGTAGGCTTGGATAAAATCTCCTAGTAAAATGGCTTATTCTGCCTGCCGGCAGTGCCCGTAAAAATCGCTAATTCTGCTCAAAATTCTGCTCGGACACCCCTATTCTGCTCGAATTCTGCTCGGTATATAGAAGGGAGCCTAGGCCTAACCCCTAAAAACTAATTAGATATTCACTGTGTAGCTGCAAAATTGTAATTCATCTTACGATTAATGTGGGTGAGTTGTAGCTATTAAATAATCAAACAAATTAATTACAAGTTAATTTCCATTTGTTTTTTATTTAGTTTGAAATTTTTCTCGTAACCGATGCATATCATTAGTGCCGCTGATTTTCCCTTATTCTGCTCAAATTCTGCTCGAAAATGCCTCATTTTGCCTTCAGAATGCTCGCCTCAAAAATGGCTTATTCTGCTCGAAATTCTGCCTGAAGAATTTATCCAAGCCTGGTCGGTGGTGATCGAGATGTGAGAGCGATGGGCCGCCGTTTCTCATGGCGTTGGTCGCCGTTGCTCGCAAGTTGAAATGGGGAGCTTGCTCGTATGCCATGCAGATCAGCCTGGCCAACGATTCAATGCAGCATACTATTGAAAACAATGTAATTTCACTTAAAACAATGGGTTAAAGAACTCACAGCTCTTAAATAGTACACAAAACTTAGCAATGCCCCATATTCGGTTTGGTCAAATATTAATTTACTTCAATTATCCTTTAGAAAGATGTTTCCCCTCGACATGTGAACTACTTACAACCCATGTAGTATTGCAGCTTGTTCTAAGGCCAAGGGTTATTATCAAACACCCTTTTCGCTGTCTGCGAGCCCCATAATCGTGCAGCTGGGCCCGTTACTTTAAATGAAAATGCTTAACATTTTTACTGTAGCTTCTGGTTCGATCCTATTAGACAAGGAAAAACTCTCACAACTTAAGAAAAAAAATTTAATAGGTAAACGGCCTCTTTCCAAATTGGGAATTAGGTCAATCTACATCGATGTTTTACGGTTATTGCGGGACAAAATATTTGACATTTTTTGAGGCACGTGACCTAATCAAACATGAATCAATGAATTTCTTATAAAATTCTGTGTGCATAAAACTATTTATTTTGTACACTTTTTATTTAACTCCAGGTGATCCATCGTTTTCGTCACTAATTAAAATTTTATTTCCATGGTTAAAGGCCCTTGATACAAAATATCGCGGGCCACCACACACCTGAAAGTGACACACAGACAATTTTTTGTTGATATAAGAAGTTGAAAGATGGTCTGTTGAAAAAAGTATAGCCATGGTAACAGAAATTGGCTAATGGTCACGAAGTACTGCTAATACCTAATTAAAAAGAACAATAAACGACATTATAAAGTTTGTGTTACTCTAATGTAAGCCAATTTTCCTTATTGAACATAAAATTCGCTTCTTTGTTTTGTAATATGTCTTCAGCTCCCCCCGCCTCGATTAGTTCATAAGCTATTTGCGGGTGGGAAAGTAATGTAATTAGTTATTTTCCAATTTTCAATAAAATTTGTTGTTGTTGTTGTTGTTGTTGTTGTTGGTGACCAAATTGGAAGATATATAGACTTTATCAGTGTGTAATGCATAACGTATTCTACATACTACTATCAACGTCTTACTTTAGAAAGCTGGTTTACTAACTTATTTAGAACAAACGCCACTGAATCGTAGCCAACAGTTACCAGCGTCGCACAAACGATTTATTGACGAGATCAAGCAAAACTAACTACGAGAGAACGACTGGAGAACTGACAATTTGACTAACAATAGACAACTGTTTAACTGTGACAATAGACTGATCGAAACGCACGATGCCAATTACTGATTACAAGTCTTCATAACCAATAACATCACGGCTTAACTGACAGACGACCAATAACATCGCGACGTAATTGACCAATCGGATCAATAACCAGAGTATAATACCATCAACTGACGTGATACAACTCACTTTGACTCTGAAGATGACTACCGCACAGGTTGTCGAAACGTCAGTCATCATGCACTGTCAACAACAACAGTCCTATTCAGGACTACGTTCACCCGGACCATCAAACTCAACCTACTTTTATTATTATTATTACTATTATTATTATTATTATTATTATTATTATTTTTCCATGGCATGAAACAAAAGCCCTCTGCCTATCTTAGTATCTTGATTTACAAATGCAGCTGTACAGGAAGGCGTTCGGCTGATTATATATTCTGGCACTTCCAACGACAAGAATGCTAGTGAAACTTTATATTCATAAACTGAACAAATTCGCAATGGCGGCCGAGTTCTGTTAGAACAGGCTGGATGGTTTGACGCAGCTATTTCACCTCCACCAATCGTTCATGCTAACCCTATGCATTCTAAGCCTGGTGTTTGCTGTCGTTGCCGCGTTTGGGAACCTTCTGGTTGTTGACGCGCCTTGTGGAAAGCTTCATCAATACCACCTAACCTAAAGAGACTTCTCCTACCTTGCCTTGCTGTTGGAATGTTTGTGCAACCTATGTTTGGCATTATCATTGCCGTGATGTTGAAAACGGCATCGAGTGGCAATTACAACTTCGAGTTATTATGTCCCACAATTTTGACAGTATGTTTCTTTTTCATGTTGCTTCTGGCTTGTGCGTCGTTTTTAAGCATCATCGGAGTTGCGTTGAATATACTTCTTGCTATTTCGCTTCATCTGCGTTATCAAGAACTTCTAACAACAAATCGCATTAATATATCTTTGGTAGCTATATGGATGATAAGTGTTGTGGCTGCCTTCGTTTTTATTTATAATTCACTTCCCAAAGAGTTAAATAAGTTAGTCTCAGTAAGCAATTGTTGACTTTTCTAGGCTTCTCCAGGCAACCCTGTCATATATTCGTATTTACAAAATTGTAAGATGTCATCGGAATCAAAGACAAAGTTGGCAACTTCAGCTGCAAACTTCACAGGCAAGAGAGCTACTTCGACGACGTAAATGTGCTTATAACACTTTGTTTGCTTATGGCGTTTTTCTAGGGTGCTACTTTGCGGTTTTATTCTCTGTAATACTGTCTAAAACTAAAGGAAATCGGCGAATACCTTCAGTAGTAATGGTTCACAATTTTACGGAGTTTTTGGTCCTCTTAAATTCCTCGTTAAATCCATTTATTTACTTCTGGCGGTTTCCAGAAATTCGGGGAATTGGGAAAAGAAACATATCGGAAATGTTGTGAATGAAGAGGAAAGACCTATTACCGTGAAACCTCGATATAATGAAGGGCCAAGGGACTGGCAAAATGTTTGCGCTATAACGAGATTTCGTTATATGATTACATTGAGTTTCTTTTTCATATGTTTTACTATTTTTGGGGTAAAGAAAATCGTTCGTTACACCGAGGACTTCGTTGTTATATCGAGGTTCCGCTGTATAATCCGGCTCTGCAGCGATGAAGAGAAACACTGAAACGGGGAAAGCCACTGACAATTTACAGTTAATGGTAGTTACGAACGTAATGGATTAAAGTAAAGGTCGGAACGAACTAGGCGACAAGTTGCAGCAACGTACACGTTGCGGCGACAGATCACTCCTTCTCTACAGGTTAATAGGCGACTATACTAGTTGCCGCAACAGGTGACACGTCGTAGCGACAAATCGCTTCGAGTGAAATAAGAATTTTTATGAAAATCTTTGTCTCCGCAACAGAATTTTGTCGCTGCAACAAGTCGCAAAAAAAGAAAATCAAATCAGACTGCATTTGTGAGACTTGTTGCGGCAACAAAATTCTGTTGCAGGGACAAAAATTTTCACCTAAATTCTCTAGTACACCTGCATGAGGCGATTGGTCACTGCGACATGTCGCCGTGACATTTGCTGCAACTTTTCGCCTAGTGTGTAACAATTCTATCGCACTTTTTTATAAATTTTTCTGCCTTGATGAATCACGTGACCAACGAGAATCGCTTTTTTATGAAAGACATGAAACTTCCTGACATTTCACCTAAAAAACAGGATATGGATCATTTCATATATTTGAATTCAAAATATTTTAATTACAAAAGCAGCATTTAACAACAGAAAATTCATGAATAACCTGGCATTCGTCGACCAAATCCATGTTCAGTTTGCTTGCCAAGTGGCACGTGGTCATGGGGGGAGGGGGGGGGGGGAAATCCTATATATGAGCTAGGTAGGTAAGTACCGCTGAGGATCTCAAACCTTTTAAAAATAGGATATCACTTTTTACCTTGTTGGCTTGGTGTCTTTGTCCTTAGGGTTTCTCAAGTAGTAATTTTTTTATTTCCATTTTGTGGAAAAAAGTAATCCTGAGCATGCTCGGAAGAATTGCAAAGTTTTACGTGTTGTACGTGGGGTAGGAGAATTTTTTACTATCCTCACGGTATTTGCCCTAGAGGGCCCCACAGAAAAATTGAGAATTGTTTTAAGATGAAATGATACTCCGTTTGTTCCTATATGGGACCAAATCAAGAGAGAATAATGGACCAAATGGTCAGCCGGCTCAACAGTGTATGACCCCAAGTGATGAGTTTTATAAAAGAAACAGGTGCATACAAAGGTATTGGCCAGCGACTAATTGGATTTTGTGGTTATGTTTCT